ATGGGTACAATAGATAGCCACTCTCAAATAGAATAGGAAACGGGGTATAGCTAATCAAATACTTGGGCCTGCTATCAGGTCTATTACTAAGATCTAGTTTGTAGTGTGAACTACAATTGTCTTTTTTTTCCTTTTGCTTTTGAGTCAGTGTTAACAGTTGGCAACTGCCTGCACTAGTTATTAATAAAATAATAAAATGTTCACTTCCCCATTTTAGCTGGAAACAAGATAGAACAAGCAATTCCGAATTATATGATTAGGCTTGACTCTACTATTATTTCTGACAAGGAATACCTCAGTCATCTACACTGAAAATGTTCTACTAGGATCAAGGGCTTGAAACTTACTCCTAATTTTTATTTCCTCTTTGTGGATCTATGACTAATTAATAACTATTTGCCTACTCAAGATATAAGCAAATAAGATATTCTAATTGTATGTTTATAATAAAATTATAATTCCATGTATTATCTTACATGCTTATAGCAGTGTGAGATATAAATCTTTTTGTAAATGAAGCAATAAATGCTGATTCAAATTATGTCTTTGATATTTGAAGACCAGGTTAAAAAGTACTAGCAACAAGGAGAATTCCAATCATTTTGGCCCTGCTTGTTCCATTTTATTTCAGAATGTATTCATCTACCTCTATAAATTGTTATTTTAATATATATGATGTGAACAGAGGTGATAGGACATAATGAACATCTCAAAAGACAATGAATATGTTATGTAGATTTGTAAAACCTACTGGAAAAAATTAAAAACATTGAAATTAAATTAAAATATTAATCTTTATATTACACTGCATCATCTCTATTAAACAGCTATGGAATAATAGCTGTTTAATAGAGATAGCCTACTACCTCATAGTTCCCTTCGTCCGGTTAGATCCCACAGGCTGGGCCTCCTTCAGGTCCCGTCGGCCAAGCAGTGCCATTTGGCGGGGCCGTGGGGGAGGGCTTTCTCTGTGATGGCGCCCACGTCTTGGAACCAGCTCCCCCCGGAGATTAGAACCGCTCCCACCCTGTTGGTTTTCCGCAAGCTGCTTAAGACCTGGCTTTTCCGGCAGGCCTGGGGTTTATAAAATCTGACCCCTGGATGAATGTTATTGTATTGTTTGCTTTGTTAAGTTATATTGTGTTTTTATTGTTAGCCGCCCAGAGTCCTGTGGGAGTAGGGCAGTCTATAAATTTTAATAAATAAATAAATAAATTTTGGATAGATGGAGAACATGGAATATCTTGAATAACTTATCTGCCTACCAATAGATAGTATACATCAGGAAGATGCTTTATATACTTGCCCTAATTAGCTAACTTTTTTTTAAAAAAAAGTTCTTTTGGATATTCAGTCAGAAGTCTTCCTGCCAGTCTTTATCTAAAGTGGAGGTATCAGAAATTGAACCTGAACTCTTTTGCTGCTAAGTATTTGCTTTGTTATGAATCATGATTTATTTAGTTGCACCACATATACTTTAGATCTGACATTTTCTCCTGCTTTTTGCTGCCTGCCTGCATTGCAATGTTTTATAGTCACATCACGTGCCAGTCTATGTGACATTATCCTTGCTGAGACTAGGATGATTAATGATACATTTTCGGCAATTGAGGAAGCTCAGCCTTATTGCCATGGACATACTGAAACTCAAAAACTTTAGAGATAAGAAGTAGATTAGAAAGATAAGAAAAGTTGTTCAACCAGTTGGACAAAACTATATTGTATACCAATCAAACATGAGCTTAGTCACAAGAAAGAGGAGATTGCAGCCATCTTTTATCTTAAACATGCCTGACCAGCAATTGCCCACTGTTGAAGTATTTTCAACTACTTTAAGAACTGTGCTTTAGCAATGCTCACTATGTCTTCTTTAAACAAACAATTGATAACTGCTTCTCATTTGGTAATAAATGAAAATCAAACAAATATGGAAGTGAAACCAATCAATATGATTACTTACCTTTTTAGCATTTAGTAGTTTGGGTTAATTAATAAAACAAGAAATGGGTCATACAAAACTGAGAATGGTGTTTCTTAGCTTACTGCAGAAGTTCTCTTGCTAATCCCAGATGAGAAAAGCATGAACATTACAAAGAGCCAGTTCAAATGTAGAACAACCAACATTTGATGGTTTTCTCAATATTAACTAAAAAGGATATCAGATAAAATCAATGGAACTTATAATAAAGATTTCTAGTGTGGCATCTTCTAATCAAGCAGCCAATTATCTGTCCCTGGAGCTTCACAGGTTGAGCTGTAGCCTAGGGAACAACTATCAGAAGGTGAAGAGAAATGTGGAATAGTGCTAAAGAAAGGGCACTTTGGAACACCTGATAAAATTAATGTGGAGTGAATAACTGGAAACTGTGCTAATGGGATTTCATTTAAAACAATTGCTTATGTTTTAATACTGAAAACACAGGATACTGCTTTCTCATTTAACACTGAGGAATGCAAATACCCCTACACATTTAATTTTTTTTAGCCAAAGCAATTCCTTAATTTTCAAGTCACATATCATACATGATTAAACTACCAGGCATCATAGACTGTTCATTCTTGAACTCAAGGACCAACTTTATGCTCTTCCTTTCAGTTAGATATGGCATATAATTTCTTACATTTCACATGGTATAAGAAGAGTTGGGACCTTAGAAGACCAGTGAAGGCCTGGAACAAGGACTCCACTCGGGGTTATTCATATTCCTGCCTATGTTGCATCATTCTTGAAAGATGAGATGAGATGAGATGAGATAACCTTTATTGTCATTTTTTACTGTGGGCACAATGACACACATCAAAAATGAAATTTAGTTGCCCGCTCTCAAAGTGAACACATACATGACACACACCCAAACATACTATGTACAACATATACATACTATATACAACATATGTATAGACCTACACCCCTACATATACATTGTCAAGGCTGCTAACATCGGATATTCTTGCTTGACAATATATGAAGAAGCAGACATGTTTTATTTAACCTGTGTATTACTTCTAGAGTTAGAGTTAGTGTTGGAAGGGAGGGGGGAAAGAATGTACTTGGGAAACTGTTAGCCATAACAATCTTTCAGTACAGTATTTTTCAAGGTTAGTTGTAACCAGAGGAGATATGGGAGAGAAAGTTCACACTTCAAACTAATTGGAGAATGTGATTGATGACTGTTAAATGAAGGAGTGAGTTATGCTTTGTTATGGGCGATTGGGGGGAGGAAAATTCAGATTTTGGCTTCACTATGCACGTGCCAAAGCTATGTAGTAATTAAAAAGATTCTTTAAGGAAAACAATGCCTTAAAGTTCTTTGAAGAGCTTCTACTTTCGGAACCATAACATACATAACATATGAATATTAAAGAATCTATTATACTTTATAGTGCTCAAAATATTGCACTGGAATCCTTTCACATAGTTCAAGTATTGCTAGATTCCTGATTAGGTGCCATTAAAAACCAGTGAAAAGAGTAAAACCTTGTTTCCTATTTCTGGGAATAGACTACAGTATCAACCTTGCCTGTAGAAAGTCCAAAAGGACATCAAACACCTGTTCCTGATTAATATTAAAGATTTATCTTTCATGCTTATACTTCCCTGGAAAATACAACTAAAGTACAAAAAGGACTGTATGGGCTATCCATTGTATTGCTCTGGTCACAACTGGCAACTAAATGCTGAAATTACTGGCAGATTTTAAAGCTAAAATAAAATGTCACTTATTGTATTAGTTCTAAATTATATTCATTCAAGGAATTTGAAGGTTTTCAATCCAAATTTTATCAGAGTCACCTCATCTCACAGTGTATTTTGTCTTTTGCATTTGTATTCCAGGCTGGTTTCAACTTAAGCCTAGCAATAGATAGTGGTCAGTTTATTATTATTTTTTAAGCAAGTGCTTTGGGACCCTGGTTCATTTATATACTCACACTTCTAGCAAGTAAGACATTGGAATATCAGTTACATACAGTACCTGTTATTGGTTCATGATTTGGTGTATGAATCTCTTGCCAGATTTTGTGCAATGGCCATATCAGCATGCCAATGATTACTTAAAGAATGCTAGTTATATGATTATCATATTTTTCAAATGTCCGAGCTTGTACATTTTATTTGGGCTGGCTGTAGACCATTATTTATTTTGCTCTAAGTATATTGGATGTTAAATAGCGTATGCATTTTAATTTCAGCATTTTATAATTAGGAAGAGATTTTTAAAAGCCAAAATATAATAGGTCTTTTAAAATGCAAGAACTTCATATAATGAACAATTGCTGTACTTGAAACTGAATAAACATTTCTTTCATTTCAAAATGTACTTGGGTATTGCCATCATGGAAAGCTTTGCTTCACTGGCAAACACCTGCAGCCTATGTCTAAAAGGAATGCACTGCAGTATTTGTAGGTGTGTTACCAAACTTTTCTTCTATATTCTTAATACAATTTTTCATTCTTGTTTTGTAAATATGAGAAGGATGAAAGAATTAAGTTGAAAGGGATTGCTTTGAAAGACACTTCATAAATAAGAAAAACATAGTTGATATGTGTCCAACTTCTGACAAAGGTTTTAAATTTCCATATTTATCTTTGGAGAACCACATGTTGATCTTCTATATGGGAATCTTGACTGGGTTAACATGTCAAGAGGGGACTGCAACTGCATGATCAAACCCCCACTTTTTATGTGTGATGCATATGGGCTTTGATCATGTGATCCAACTGCCAAGTTGACTTTTTTGACTCCTTCCAAAATGCTCCTGTTACAGCCAATTACTAGTCTCTGACCTACAGAAAGTGTTATGTACTGAGCTTAAACTAGGAACAGGTGCAAGGAAACCGTTAGCAGACCACATGGCCTTACTGTCTGACTAATCATTCATATGCATTTAAATGGGAGAATACGTTGCATTCATTGGCTGACAGCGCCCTAAGCTGAATGTATAAAAAGCAGTGGAGCCATTTTGTTCTAAGTTCTGTTTAGCTGCAAATAAAGAAGTACCTGTTTGTGAGTCCTGCCTCTTCAATGCCTACCAATGCAAGAAACAGAACAGAAAGTGTTTGTGATATATAGACACAAATGTACAGAGACACACAGAGACTAAAATTTTACGTTCTGTAAAATGAAGGCAGGTCCACTTTACATGTATTTACCCCAAAATCATTGTGTGTAGGGAATATCTAGCAGCAATTTAGGCCTTTAAGAGCATGTTTGTTAAAAACTGTTTATCTAACTTTATACCAAACAGTGCTGAAGACTTGTGTGGAGTAAGGAATGATGCAATTTATTTGTTATTTATTTCTTTGATTTTTATGGCTGCCCTTCTCACAATAGCAGGTTATAACCTTTTAAAACAAAACAGAACATAATATATTACATATTAAACTTCAATGATCTGTGAAGTAGAAAGGTGGGTAGGGCATTAACAAATGCAATACAAGCAATCAATTCAAACTCATTATAACATATTTGTAGGATAGGTTTGATGATTATAAAAAATAGTACATATAGAATAATGACAGTTGTGATAAAACTTAAAAGTCAATTAAATTCTTGTATCTGTTGAAAAAAAATTGAAAGTAATTTCTTTTTATTTTCTATCTGCATTTTTGGCTTTTATTTATTTTATTTATTATTTTCTATCTGCATTTTCTTTCTTTCTTTCTTTCTTTCTTTCTTTCTTTCTTTCTTTCTTTCTTTCTTTCTTTCTTTCTTTCTTTCTTTCCTCTTTTTATCTACCCTATCTTAAATATTAGCTTTTATTAGTTTTTATCTTATTATTAATTATGATGATGATGATGGTATTGGAAGGGACATTGAAGGTCATCTAGTCCAATCCCCTGCTCAGGCAGGAAGCCCTATACCATTTCAGACAAATGGTTGTCCAGTCTCTTCTTAAAAACTTCCAGTGTTGGAGCATTCACAACTTCTGGAGGAAGGTTGTTCCATTGTTCTGTCAGGAAATTTCTCCTTCATTCTAGATTGCTTCTCTCTTTGATTAGTTTCCATCCATTGCTTCTTGTCCTGCCTTCAGGTGCTTTGGAGAATAGCATGACTCCCTCTTCTTTGTGGCAACCCCTGAAATATTGGAACACTGCTAACATGTCACCCCTGGTCCTTCTCTTCATTAAACTAGACATACTCATAAAAATATAAAAAAATATGGCAGATGAATATTTTTCTGGAATTCAAATTCTAAGGCAACAGAAAATTACCTGTTCACAATGCCCACTGTTCTTTCAATTTGTTATTTGTTGTAGCTTCATCAGTATATAATTATTACTCAAGCTATAATACTTTTCCATTCTTTATTACTTTCAGAATCTCATTTTATTCTATAAATAATCTTGAAAAGATTTGGAACATTAAATTTTACTGCTTTACCAATAAAAGAAATATGGACATATGCAACGATAGTTGGAGATTTAAGATGATAGAGAGGTTTAAGTTCACATTAGATGATACTAACTCTGTGGTTCATTCGTTCTTTTTCATATCAGTACAAACACTATGTTGACAAGCTTCCATTAGTACTAGGGAACTACATTGACATTTTAAACCATTACAGACAGTTATCAGTTATTACCCAGTTAAAAAGAGTTATTAGAAGTGAAGTCTCAAGACCGCAGTGCTTGAAGTGCTCTCTATCTTGTGTGTTTGCCTCTTCAGAATTAGATGTTTCAACGGAACCTGATAATCTCTTATAAAGAAGGGCAATGTGCTAAATCTTGGAGTGAAAGTTCAGAACTGGACTTTGTTCCAGCAAAGGATGAGGAAAAATAGCACAGAATACAGAGATGGAGGGGAAGTAAAGAAAACATGGGAGATAGAAGTAGGAAATATATTATTAAATTAAATGAGACTGAAATATAAAATAAGTTGTTAAGTTATAAAGGTGTTACTTTCTTTTTAGCTAAGCCTTCTTGCCTTGCCATGCAGAACTTTAGAGAGATTGGAACTTGCCAAGCAGATACTACAGAGGTAAATAAGCTTCTGAATAGCATCTCTTCTTACTCCTGGGCTAATCCTACAGAATCCTGCCCGGCCCTGAGGACTGTAGTAACTGAGGAGTGAGGAGTGAGGAACTTGACTTTCCATTGACTTCGTAATGCTGCCACAAAACTGTTTTTGAGTATATTGTTGTCAACCAGTAATGTTACTATTTTTTATAGCATCCCAGGATTTTTTTACATTCATTTGAAAGTTTATAACTATCTGGAAAGAAATCTGATCTCTGACGAGGAACTAAGGACTTTTACTTGACAGGTCACATGTAAAGAACACCAAACTTCTTTTTTCTTTTCGTTTTCTGAACCTTCTGTTTTTTTCTTCTTTTTTAGTTTGTATTAATTTTTTAAAAATTGTGATTGTATTTTTTAATAAAATTTAATAAAATAGTATTTATAAAATAAAATTACTATTAGAAAAACAAAATAAGGAGCCAAAAATCCAAAGAATCAAATTCAAAGGGAATTGATGGGTCACTTATACTTTTTTTACTTCACGTCCCTTTGAATAATTGATATCTTACATCGTTTTTTTTTTTAAAAAAAATTCCCATGGAAGTTGTATTCAACTTTTGCTTTCTCAAGACTACCGGTATATGTTTTTTTTCAAATCATACTGAAGCAAGAAATTGTTGGTCATAACCCATTCCTGGGAAGTGAGAATGGCCAAGGCCTTGCAATACTGTTTTTTTTTATAATGCTTCTTACCTGGAGTTGTGATGGCTTTATTGATAGCTTTTAAAACAATTTGAAGCAATTAAAACTGGATTATTCTGAAGAGAATTATCAGGCTATATGTTACATTATATTATTTTAATTAACAGTTTAATTTATTAAGGATGTTATATTGTTATATTGTTGTAGTTATCAGCTGACAAAAATTGTGAGATATAATGAATGAATAAATAAATAAATAAATAAATATAATATAGATTTAGACTAGTTCTACTACTTTATTTGTACAGTTATATGTACATTTGATAACTCTTTGACCATTATAAGATTACAAACTGATATCTCTTCTTCCCATAACCCATTCTATAAATCATCAACTTTTCAATCCTAGATGTAAAACTGAATATGCTACTTGTAGTTACATTCCAACAAGTTGTATCTAATTTTTGGTGATTTTATGAATAAAATGTCTCCAAACTGTTCTATCTGTTCCTATGAGTTCATTCCTCCATTCTCCAGTATTTCACCCACCCACCTCATTGCTATTAGCCTCTTCTGTCTATCTTGCTAAGCATTATTATCGTTTCTCTAGATGCATCAAACTTTAAATAATTAATAATAATAATAATAATAATAAAGTTGGAAGGGACTTTGGAGGTCATCAAGCCCTGCTCAGGCAGGTAACCCTATACCATTTCGGGCAAATGGCTGTCCAGTTTCTTCTTAAAAACTTCCAGTGTTGGAGCATTCACCGCTTCTGGAGGCAGGTTGTTCCACTGGTTACCATATATGCCGGCGTATAAGACGACTTCCGGAAGTGCTAAACTCGGTGCCAAAGACGGCGGTCGTCTTTTACGCTGAGTCGTCTTATACGCCAGAAATACTGGTAGTTTCCGGCGTATAAGACGACGTTCTAGGAATGGGGCTTGGTGACAAAGATGGGGGTCGTCTTATACGCCAGGTCGCCTAATATGCCGGCATATACGGTAATTGTTCTAACTGTCAGGAAGTTTCTCCTTGGTTCCAGGTTGCTTCTCTCCCTGATTAGTTTCCATCTGTTGCTTCTTGTCTTGCCTTCAGGCGCTTTGGAAAATAGCTTGACTCTCTCTTCTTTGTGACCACCCCTGAGATATTGGAACACTGCTATCATCTCCCCCTCATTCTTCTCTTCATTAAACTAGACATATCCAATTCCAGCAACCATTCCTCATATGTTTTAGCCTCCTAATCATCTTTGTACTCTTTTTAGAGTCTCAACATCTTTTTTACAATGTGATGACCAGTATTCCAAGTGTGGCCTTACCAAGGCATTGTAGAGTGGTATTAATACATCACGTGATCTTGACTCTGTCCCTCTGTTAATGCAGCCCAGCACTGTGTTGGCTTTTTTGGCAGCTGCAGCACACTGCTGGCTCATATTTAAATGATTGTCCACTAGGACTCCAAGATCCCTCTCACAGTTACTAATATTGAGCAAGATACCCCCTATACTATACCTGTACATTTGGTTTTTCTTGCCTAAATGTAAAACCTTACTTTTTTCACTATTGAATTTCATTTTGTTAGATAGTGCCCAGTGTTCAAGTCTGTCCAGATCCTCCTGTATCCTAATCCTGTCTTCTGGAGTGTTGGCTATTCCTGCCAGCTTAGTGTTGTCTGCAAATTTGATGAGTTCCCCATCTATCCCCTCATCCAAATCGTTGATGAATATGTTGAAGAACACTGCGCCCAGAACAGAGCCCTGGGTCACCCCACTACACACTTCCCTCCATGTAGATGTGGTTCCATTGAGGACCACATGCTGAATATGGCTGGTCAGCCAGCTATGGATCCATCTGGCGGTGATGCTGTCTAACCCGCATTTTCTATCTTATCAAGTAGAAGTTGTGATCTACTTTGTCAAATGCCTCACTGAACTCCAGGTAAATTATATCAAAGCATTCCTCTGATCCACTAATTTTGTCACTTGGTCAAAGAATGCAATAAGATTTGTCTGGCATGATCTGTTTTTGACAAACCTGTGTTGGCTTTTAGTAATGACTTTGTTTGCCTCTAAGTGTTCATTGATTCATTGTTTGATTATCTTTTCCAGGATCTTCCCAGGTATTGAGGTCAGGCTGATAGGTCTGTAATTTCCTGGATCCATTTTTTTTCCTTTTTTGAGGATGGGAACTACATCAGCTCTTTTCCAGTCCTCTGGTAGTTCCCCTGTGTTCCAGGATCTTTGAAAAATATAGTTCAGTGATTCTGAGATCACATCTGCCAGTTCCTTGAGAACCTTGGGGTGTTATCCATCTGGTCCTGGTGATTTGAACTCGTCTAGGCTGGACAGGTGCTCACTTACCAT